AAATTTTAACTTATTCATGTTGACAAAAAAAGAAAACGTGATTTCAATATGTGCATTCGCTTCTAGTTCAATTTTATGGTCAGTTAATCATATTGAACAATTGAAAATCAAACTAGTTAACAACTCCCCACGTCAACCAATGACTGTATTTCGTAGTTTGTTTGGTTTGAAAGGTTGAGAGATTAAACAACTCCCCACGTCAACCAATGACTGTATTTCGTAGTTTGTTTGGTTTGAAAGGTTGAGAGATTAACATTCCAACTACATATATTGAGGTACACTCTTGTAGGGCCCACTCTATATTATATTTCATTAATTTAATCAATCTATTTTGTAAATATTCATTCAAAGATCATATCTATAAAAAATCACTTGAATCCGATATCATTTGACCACTCAATTGAATTATTGAAATTTTAGAACTTTCTTGAAGCACCATGTTCATTTATTTTGTAGGACACAATTGGATGTCGAAACAGTGCTCGATTTATCTAATTTTTTGTAAGGATGATCTATAAATGTAGATTTAAAAAATATATGGTTTGGATCGTTGAAATTTTTTTTTTTTTTTGTAAAGTACCATAAAGGGTGTCCCTCAAATAATTTTTTAGGGATCCCTCAATAGAAGGGGACTGTATATATATAGAGAGCTTCAATTGAGAGATTTCTCAAATTAGCTTATTTGAGGGACACCCTTGTAGGGCCTACTCTGCATTGTATTTCACTCATCCAAACCGTCTATGTTTTAGATAATCATTCAAAGATTATATCTACAAAAAAATCACTTGAATCTGATATTGTTTAACCACTCAATTGTGTTATTGAAATTTTAATACTTTTCTTGAAGCACCGTGTTCATTGATTTTGTAGGATACAATTGGATGTTGAAACAGTTTCTGCAACTGTAAATTATGGTTGTTGCCATGCCCGTGTCTTTAGGCAAAACATGTCATGATCTTTCTTCTACTATGCTCTTGCATCCAAATCCAATATCGAAAAATCTTTGACAAAGAGTACACAAATTTGAAACCGATCTAATGAAATTACAATTTTTCCTACCTCTTTTGCCTTTTAGCCGGAGGACTAAATTGATCATAAAGTATGTATGAGATATATGCTAAGAGATTCTAACGTTTTAATTTAATTCACGGGCCTCTTCTCTTCTCCAGGTGACGCGTGTTAAAATCAACACCAGCCCATGACTTAACTCAGCCCCAGGAAATAAAGCCTGAGAGAAGGTAGTCAACACTTGAGCTAGATAATTATAGTAAAATCTGGAAAAGTGAAGAAAGTTTCACCAACCTAGCTATTAAATATTATATTAGAATACTCTAGTTAATTCTAGAGAAGTTGGTGCAATCCCAAACTCTAGAATGATATGTCGGTGAGTACAAGTATGGAAAGAAGAAAGCCAAAGTCGGCTAAGCAAGTGGGCAGACAAGTTGGCAGACAAGTTGAAGAATGAAGATTTGTCTAGAAAGATAAACCAGTCGGTGGAATGGAGGGCAAAGTCGGCATGGAGCCATGCATTGTAGAATCAAGTAATCAAGAAGTGAAGTGTGAGTATGAGTATGAGTAAGTAGAGAGTGAGCAATAAGCTATAGAG